TTTCCCACCAAAAAGGTGGGAAATCCAATTCAAGCAAAAATGGGAAAATGTGCACATGTGAGGTGTTTGTGGAAAATCATTTCCATGGAACTTTTGTGCCATCAAGCACTCATAAAGATGGGAAATGGAATTTGAATTCCATTTTCCATGGAAAATCCATAGTATCAAACATGCCCTTAATGTTATCGTGACTCTTTTCTTGATGTCGTGCTCTGATACTAATCTTGTGATTTTGGACTAGGCCCATGGATTCTTATTTAATAGGATGGGCCATTGGGCCTATGTTGCTAAGGCAATAGGGTTTACGGATTCAGTTACCATCCATTCAGTTCAAGTACATTCTTATATAAAATTAAGGAAATGTAAGAGATTAAATATTTCAAAACTTCAAAAATCATATATTAACTAAATTTTATTTATGAAATAATTAATTAAATATATTAAAGTCACAATTCTATATTATTTTGTTACAAATTATCGAATTAATTGGTCACAAATTATTTCTCGATCACAAATCAAAAAATTTATAAGTTATAAATTATTTCATGGTTACAAATTGAAATTTTTATAGGTCACAATTTATTCATCAATCACAAATCAAAAAAATCATAAGTCACAATTTATCTATCGGTCACAATTGACACATTTTATATGTCAAAACTTAAATTTATCGGTTACATATCATTTATTTGTCATAAGTTATAAGTCACATATTATTTATTGATCACAAAATATCTAATTTATTGGTCACAATCTCAAATAATTGGTCTCATATTATTTAGAGTCATGCTAGTGTTACATCGGGGTATACATCGCGGTGTACACCCCCCTTACATGGGTAAGGGGCTCACTCGAATATTTTATTCGAGTGGACCACTCCATGTGAGGGGATGTAGACCTTGATGTACATTTTTTTATGTACAACTAGCATTTTTCTATTATTTATTGGTTACAAATTAATCAATTTATTGATCACAAACAACACTACTACACATTGCCAGAGCCGAGTGAGTGCTGTGAGGAGTTGCCGGAGTGAATTGTGGGTGCCCCTTACTCTTAATTTTTTTTAGTTTGGACTGCGAGACGCTCACACAAGTTGTGAGTGCTGCCCAGTGGCTAT